TATTCCTCAGCTAGAAAACAAATATTTAGGATATATAAAGAACTCAAAAAAATTTGAATCCTCAAAATAAAAGACTCAATCAAAAGATGAGCAACTGAAATAGACACTTCTCAGAAGAAATACAAATGGCCAATGAATATACAAAAAAATCTACAATATCTCTGGCCATTAGTGAACTGTAAATTAAAACAACATTGAGATTTCATCATATGCCAGAAAGAATAGCTATCATCAAGAAATCAAATAATAACAAGTGTTGGCATGCCTTTTTGTGGAAAGAAAAACCTTCTGTATTGTTGGTAGGAATTTAAACTAATATAACCATTGTGGAAATCAATATAAAGATTTCTCAAAAAACTAAAAATAGAAATTCCATTTGACCCAGATATTTCCCTTCCCAAAAGAGCTGAAGATATCACATTATAGTGATACATGTATCCCAATGTTTATAGTAGCACAATTCATAATAGCTAAATCTTAGAGATAGCTAATATATCCATCAACGGATGAATGGATACAGAAAATGTGGTATTTATACACAATGGGATAGTACTAAGCGATAAAGAAAGATAAGTTTAAGACACTTGCAGGAAAATGGATTCACCTTGAAAACATAAGGTTATGTTAATAAATCAGACACATAAGCTTAAATATTGTAGTTTTTCTCATTTGAGTTATCCATATACAAACAAAGAGCAAACTAAAAGGTTGATAAAGGGAAACAGAGAGATATTCTACAAAGGGGAAGGAGACCAAAAGACCAAGGGTAGGGAAAGGGAGAAGGGGAAAGGAACAGAAAAATATTTAAGATGTGTCAGGTATATGTATGATCTAACCACAATGAATGTAATCAATGTCACAAACATGATCAAAAAATAATAACAATAATAATGAAAATAGGGAAGGGGATCCAGAGAAGGAGGGAGGGATATGGGTGGGGAGGAAAAGGGGAATAAAAAGAATCATAGTCTCTAGCCTTGGGGAATTCATATCCTGAGAGGTAACATCCAACCTAATATAGTAGTTCCCCCTCTTATTCTAAGAATGCCCATGGATGCCTGAAACCTCAGATAATACGGAACCCTAGAGGAAATACTTTTCCTATACATACCTATGATAAAATTCAATTTATAAATTAGCCACAGTAAAAGATTAACAACAGTAACTAATAATAAAATAGAAAAATTATACTATCATAAAGGTTACTTAAAACTTAGGAATTATTTCTAGAATTTTCCAGTTAATCTTTTCTGGACTGGTGTTGACTACGGAAAGTGAGACAGCAGAACACGATAGATTCTTGCATAGTACAATAGCAAATCTACTTTGTGCTAGGAGAGTGAGAGAACAGAGGTCCACAAAAGTGTGTTTGGCGCTTTCTAGGGATAATAGTTCTGACCAATCTTGATGGAGGTGATGCAGCTGTGAAGGAAGCCTGTTGCCTCTGAAGGGAAGGGAGAGCAGCAGCTCATGGGTGGGAATGCTTGTTGTATAAAGAAGCCGAGGGGCCTAAACTTCAAAGTTTCTCCTGTATTCAGCTGTATGGGGTCAGGCCATGCTCCATTACTCCTGCAGCAGCCATCACACTCATGTCACGGGAGGTGAAGGCAGGACTTGGCCTTTGCCTAGGAGCCCCACCTTCCGGAAGTGGGGCCAGAAGGAAGGGAGGCCAGGTTCAGGCAGGCCTGAGGTCAAGCTGCTGCCACCAAACTGAAGGCCCTTTGAAGAAGATGAGGATAGGAGAAGAACACAAGTGGACTCTGTAGAGGGACAGTGACATCAGGAAACCGAAACAGATGTGAGGAAAGGTGTGGGCGAATGCCCACATCAGTCTATCTGACTGGCCTCTTTCTTCCCTCCCCCACTTCTTAGGAGTTCACTCAGGAGCCTGGAATTACCCCTACATCAATAATTTGCAGCAAGCATGTATTGACCTCTTATTATGTATGAGGTACTATGCAGAGAACTCCACATGGATTGCTCCATATAAAGTAAGCATGAGGGTTATGACCACTCCATGGATAGGAAACTTGATAATTTAAAGTCAGCTCACTGTGAAAATATGAATCACTCAAGCTGTCATAACAAAATACCATAGAGTTGGTGCTTAAGCATAGATGCTTATCTTTTCACAATTTGGGAGGCTGGAAGTCTGCCATAGTTTGGATCTGGAATGTCCTTGCCAAGGCCATGTGTTAAAGTCTTGATCTCCAGCTTAGTGCCTTTGGGAGATGGTGGAACTGTTAAGGGATGGACCTAGGGGGAGGACTTTTGGTCACCAAGGCATGCCCTCAAAGGGGACTGGCCCCTTTGTCTTTCTCTCTTTTGTGTCCCAGCCATGAGGTGAGCTGTTTGCTTTACCATGTGCTCTTATCATGACTGCTGCTTTACTGCAGGTTCAAAGTGAATGAATCAACCAATCATGGATTGAACCCTCCAAAACTGTGAGCCAGAATTAAGCTTTTCTATTTATAATCGGTTATCTCAGGTATTTTATTATAGTGACAGAGAGTTGACTAACACAAAGTCCAAGATCAAGGTGCCAAGATGATTGTTTCTGGTGAGGCTTATCTCCTTGCTGTATCTTCCTCTGTGTACACACAGAGTGAGCTCTCTTGTCTCTTCCTCTTCTGAAAAGTACTCCAGGTCTGATTGGATTCAGGCCCACATTTATAGCCTCACTTCATCTTTATTGTCTCCGTACAAGCCAAATGTAATTACACTGGGGATTAAGGATTCCATATATATGTTTGGACATTATGTACAATTTAGTTTGTAATATCCCTTAACAATGTATGGAAATTTATGACTTATGCTTTTTTTCCCCTGGTGTTGGGGATTGAGCCCAGGGCCTTGTGCACACCAGGCAAGTGCTCTACCACTGATCTATGCCTCCTACCCCTACACATGTTTTTTGTCTATCATATCTCCAAATTCCTTCTGAAAACTAGTTTTGGCAAAAGCTGTTCATTGCTTAAAATCTAGTCAGGCCTCACATTCTGAACCAGTGCTTTGACACTTGCTGTGGCCTGTGGGTGACGGGGAGTAGGGTGCAGGCCAGTTTGCAGGAGCTAGTGCACACTGCCTGTCACCTACCAAGGTCTCAAGAAGTGAGTCACTGCCTCAGTGCAGTACCTTCTCTTTGCTGCTTAGTTCAGTGAGTTACCCTCTTTGCCAGTGCCATGTCTCTCCTACTGGGGTCACCTGTTAGCTGCTATTATCGTTACGTCAGAAATCGGGTTGTATTCCACAAGAAACTGAAAGACTCTGTTCAGAACAAAACAAAGTTTATTAATTTGAGGCTAGCCACCCTTCATTCCTGACTTGCAAGTCAGAGAAGTGGGCGTAGGCCTGCTTTTGTTCCCACCTTATGTACATTTTTGGTTTCTATGGTAACAGATTGGAATGTTGTAGCCCTGGCCACACCTTGATTTCCTTGTGCCATGTAACCTGGTCAGGTTCCGGTCATAAGCCCAACCACAATGATATATACTTTCTGTACTCTGTTCTATATGTCCCCCTTTAGATAACCATACATTTCCTTTATGGTTACAGTGTTTATCTAGGGCCAGAAAAAGGATGAAACAATCCAGGCTAGGTCATAGGTAGTTATCTAGGCCCAGGTGTTCTTTGTCTTTGGAGAAGCATTCCAGAGCTAAGTTAGAACTTCAAAGTTAACTCTTTACAACCCCTCCGGGATGTTTCTCAAGACACATTTTGAGGCTTGCATTCAGACTGGAATTATTCTATCTTAAAATGATATGCTAAGAGTCGCGGTCCCCTACGTTGTCGTTACACTTTACCCAGTTTATTTTTCTTGCATTAGAGTCAAGAAGAAAATGAAATGTTTCTCATACCCGTAACTCTAACTGCAACTAGACAGGCTGCCTCACAAACCATATGCTTAAATATGTAAGAATTATAAATAAAACTAACAAACTGTTAAAGTTTGCTCTATTCTCCGGCCTGGACAAGGGTGCCCTCATAGCAATCTGGCAGACCAGGTTCAAATGCAGAATTCTTGGACAGCTGGGAGCTCTGTGAGGCCCTGTAAATAGCTAGTCACCCCCCAAACCGCTAGTGATTGAAATTGTTGACCTGGCGCGTGTCCGTGAAAGGGAGCCATTGGGAAATCTGAGGCCTCAGATAGCTGGCTGGAACTTGGGGTACGAAGGCTAAGGCAAGGCTGCTGGCTCCCTGTGGGCATGACCCCTGGTTCCTTGGCGACGGCAGAGACGAAAGAGCGGCAGAGAGGGTCCGCGGAAGCCCAGGGGCCTGGGAGGTGCGGAGGCAGTGCTGACACCAGGTGCAGATCAAAAAGGCTGCACACTCAGAAACACGGAATTGGGCAAGCGCCTGTACCTGTGCCCTAACCTGGAGAATATCTGTCTGACACACAAAGTTGTCTTTTGTTGAAGGCCTGTAACAGGGTGTTTTCCTAAGTCTTGCGAAACGAACTTGTGAGTCAAAAGGGGAAAACTGAAGCGGACTGGGAATTGAAAGCTTTCTTAGATGTGATGATAGCATTACAGCCATGTTTAAAAAGCATGCCTCATCAATTAGGTTAATACACTCAAGTACTTAAAGGCAAATATTTCTGCTTAGACTATTTAAAATTATTTCAGGGAGAAAAGGGTGTGTCTGGGTTAAAGGACTCAGCCTTTAAAAAGGAGGAGCTGCAGAACACGGTCCATTCCAGAGGCCTAGTGGTTACTGAGACCCCGCCCCGCCCCCG